AAACTCCGTCTCAAAAAAAAAAAAAAAAAAAAAGGAAGGCATCACAGAAAGTATCTGAGCTGGAGTTGAGATGGTCTTGCTATGTTACCAGGCTGGCCTTGAACTCCTGGGCTCAAGCAATCCTCCTTCCTCAGCCTCCCTAGTAGATGGTACTATGGCACACACCATCATGCCTTGCTTTGAACTGGATTTTGAAGGAGTAGGAACCCACCACACTGAATAAAGATAGTCTGTTTGGAGGAAGGAATAATATGTATAAAGGTATGAAGTTATTCAACATGTTTGGGGCACTGGCAACTAGTTCGATCTGGCAGGAGAATAGATTCACATAAGAAATGGTTATAGGGAGCCGGGCATGGTGGCTCACACCTGTAATCCCAGCGCTTTGGGAGGCCGAGGTGGGTGGATCACTTGAGATTAGGAGTTTGAGACCAGCCCGGCCAACATGGTGAAACTCCATCTCTACTAAAGACCAAAGTTGGCTGGGCATGGTGGCAGGTGCCTGTAATCCCAGCTACTTGGGAGGCTGAGCCATGAGCATTGCTTGAATCTGGGAGGCAGAGGTTGCAGCAAGCCAGGATTGCATCACTGCACTCAAGCCTGGGCAAAAGAACGAGACTCTGTCTAAGGAGGAAAAAAAAAAAAAAGACACACAACAAAGTTGAGGATGTACACACAGGAAAGAAATGTTTGCCCCAAGGAAGAAAGGGTGAACGTTATTTTTTCAACGGCCACCCTCCAACCCAAAAACATCAATACAAAAGAAAGAAAATTCAAATACCTAGTCAGACCCAATCAAAGACCAAGTGCACAGACAGGCATATGTTATCATTTGTAAACTTACCTTGCTCAGGGTCTTCCAACAGAACCCCTCTTTTAACCAGCTCTTCTCTTGGTTTTCGCATAGATATTTTCCGTTCTAAAACTAACATTAAGTTGGAAAATGGCACTCAGAAATGTAACAGTTGAAAGTCAACCTTACACTTAGCATTCTAATTCCACAGGTAAAAGAATAAAGTGGTTTAAGTTTATATTCTCAGGAAAGAAAATAACTAGCAGACTAACTTCAACTTAAAAATCTTAAATTTCTTTTATAACCTGTGCTATTAGGAAAGCATCATTTTCAAAAAACTAGCCTTACATAATTATAGCATAATAGAAAATTTCATTAGTAAGGAATTTATGGATGAACTTTGTGTGGATGGGCAGAGTAGAAAAAAAATAAGCATTTTATTTATGTATGTATTAATTCATTCAGTCATTTTCTTTACCAAGTCCTGATGGAAAGAAGCATATTAGATTTGTTATAGTTCAGGAACTCCATTCACCACTCAATAGATACTTCTATCCCATCAAAACACAGACCAGGGAATGACAGTATACAATATAAGGTTTAGTAAATGATCATTTTGATATTTAATTCTAAAAGATTAAATTCTGGCCAGATGCAGTGGCTCATGCTTATAATCCTGGCACTTTGGGAGGCTGAGGTGGGAGGATTGCTTGAGCCCAGGTGTTCAAGATCAGCCTAGAAAACACGGGGATACCCCGTCTCTACAAAAAATTTAAAAATTAAATGGGCCCAACAGCTCATGCTTGTAGTTCCAGCTACTCAGCAGGTTGAGGACTGCAAGAGCCCAGGATGTTGAATCTGCAGTAAGCTGTAATTGCGCCACTGTACCCCAGCCTGGGAAACAGGGCGAGATCCTGTCTCACCAAAAAAAAAAAAAGAAATAAATAAAAGATTAAACACCCTCTTCAAATAGAGGACTACAGAAACTTGGGAAGATAAGGAAAAATTAGATACTTCTAACATAAAGAACTCTAAGAACACACATTTAAATCTTAATATCTCACCTTCTGAAGTCTCTTTAAATTTATCACTACTTTTTTTTTTCCTCCATTTCCAGGGTTTGAAGATCTTGCCAAAGCCTGAGAACTTGCTCTTCCTTTTGGTAGGAGGTGTTGTATCTCCTGCTTCCACACTGTCCATGACCATGCCTGGCTCTGTAGCAGGCTGGTCTGCTTCCTCTGTTACACGAAGAAAAGAGAGGGAAGGGAGCAAATTTATTATTTCAGCATAATCTCTAAAATGTTCCTTCCCCTCTCTTCCTGTGGCAGTTGGGAAGGATGGGAGCAATGATAAACAATCATGCAGACAGGGAGACTCTTGGACATCACATGGACACCAAACATCAAAACCCGTAACAGATAAATTACTAAGGAGGAAAAGGAGCCAAACCAAGCTGACATAATTTTAGGACAAAATCTGGTGAAATGATCGGAGCCAGCTCAAAATCTTTTAAAGGCACATGTATACAAAATGTGGATATCTTACCCACTGCATGAGATCTTGCCTTACTGAAGCAGGGAATTCCACCATTAATGAGTGAGTCATTTTCTCTATTAAATGTTGCCCTTTCCCTGCCCTTTTCAGGGTATAAATAGTTCAGGGAGAGGTAACACATTAATTGTTAATACCTTACTTATGTCTGCTCATCACATTATTTTCTCCCTTCACAAAAAGGATCCTAGGTACTGGAAGGTGCTCACGGTGAGGGGCAGAAGCATTAGAAAGAGAGTGCATTAAATTGGACGGAAATGTTTTCAGAAAGTAGAGGTGAGATTCCAATTTGTCTACCATAGCAGTGCTTTAGAGACAATCACAGGCTGGGCACAGTGGCTCATTCCTATAATCCCAGCACTCTGGGAGGCTGGGGCAGGTAGACTGCTTGAGCTCAGGAACTTGAAACCAGCCTGAGCAGTAAGGTGAAACTCTGTCTCTACAAAAAATACAAAAACAAAAATTAGCCGGGCATTGTGGTACGTAGTCTCAACTACTCAGGAGGCTGAGATGGGAGGATGGCTTGAGCCTGGGAGGTCAACACTGCAGTGGGCCATGACTATGCCACTGCACTCCAGCATGGGCAACAGAGTGAGAGCCTGTCTCCAAAAAAAATAAAAAAAAAAAATTCATAACATTAAGGATTTGACACAAAACATAACTGACATAATACATGTACAGGATTGAAATAAAAGGTCATGAATCCCTCATAATGACCACACATGCAGGGTTTAGTTAGTTAGCTTTAATGGCAGAGAAAGGAGAGCCAAGGAGGGGCCAAGAATTAAAAAAAATAAATAAATAAATAAAAAATAAACCAACAGAAAAACAGCAGGAAGGCAAAAACAACAAAAAAAGCAGGAAGGTAATACAATGCAGTTTTGCACTCCACCTACTGTTCCAAGGTTCTCTGGAGAAGTCTAGAGGGGAAGAAAAAAAGAGTCATGTGGAATAACCATCCTGAAATTAAAGTGGAACCCCTGCTTTGTAGAAATACATCAAGGAACAGCATGTGACAAGTTAACATGTTGACTGTAAACAATTTCAGATCTGAAGCAAATAACACTTTTGGAGGAAGGTGAAGAGGTCATCATAGACACTACAAAGTATTTATTTATTTATTTATTTATTAGAAACAGGGTCTCGGTTGCCCAGGCTGAAGTGCAGTGGTGTAATCATAGCTCACTGCGGCCTCAAATTTCTAGTCTCAAATGACCCCCCTGCCTCAGCCTCCTTAGTAGCCAGGACTACGGATATGTACCAACATGCCTGACTACAAATTTTTTTTTTTTTTTGTAGAGATAGGGTCTCACTAAATTGTTCAGGGTGGTTTCAAATGCCTGGTCTCAAGAGATCCTCCCTGCTTGGTCTCCCAAAGCACTGGGATTAAAGGTGTTTACCACCACACCTGGCCTCTCTTTTAAAACTAGATATTTTCAAAAGAGAAAATATACAACCAACAGTATTACTTTATTTATTTATTGAGACAGAGTCTTCCTCCTGTCGCCCAGGCTGGAGTGCAATGGCATGATCCACCTCCTGGGCTCAAGTGATTCTCCTGCCTCAGCCTCCTGAGTAGCTGGGATTACATGCTCAGGAGGCTGAGGCAGGAGAATCCCTTGAACCCAGGAGGCAGAGATCGTGCCACCACGCCCAGCTAATTTTTGTATTTTTAGTAGAGACGAGGTTTCATCATGTTTGTCAGGCTGGTCTTGAACTCCTGACCTTGTGATTCGACCGCCTTGGCCTCCCAAAGCGCTGGGATTACAGGTGTGAGCCACTGTGCCTGGCCGCACTGAATTTTTTAAAGAAACAACTGCAAAATTCAATCTTTTTTTAGTTGATTGACGGAAGTATAGGGAAGTTTTTCAATAAACGTTAAAATTATACAATCGTAATTATCACAGTAAATGCAATGATAACTACTGATGCATTCATTTGCTATGCCCAGAAGACTTAGGCAAAGTAGTGTCCTCATAACTAAAGTGTAAAAGATTGAAATGACAAGAGGACAGTGACTCTTCCTAGTTGCATGATTTATTCAAGGACATTCTGGGTCTCAATTACTTTAACATTTTAAAATGAAATGCACTAAAATCTGATAATTCTATCTATCTATCTATCTATCCATCTATCTGTCTGTCTGTCTGTCTGTCTGTCTGTCTGTCTGTCTGTCTGTCTGTCTGTCTCTATCTATCTAGTTATTTTAGAGACAGGGTTTTGTTCTGTTGCCAAGTGTGGAGTACAGTAGCACGATCAGAGCTCACTGCAGCCTTCAACTCCAGGACTCAAGCAATCTTCCATAGCCTTCTGAGTAGCTGAGATTACAGGCAAATAGTTGAAATTATAAGAGAGTGTCTCAGATTACAGACACTGGCTATGGCACCTGGCTCCGCTTCATTTTTAAGTAAAGAAAGACCAGGCCGGGCGCGGTGGCTCAAGCCTGTAATCCCAGCACTTTGGGAGGCCGAGGCGGGTGGATCACGAGGTCAAGAGATCGAGACCATCCTGGTCAACATGGTGAA